TGATGGATGGATGGATGGATGGATGATGGAATGATGGATGGATGGATGGATCGATGATGGATGGATATATGATGGATGGATGGATGATGGAATGATGGATGGATCGATGGATGGATGGATGGATAGATGATGGATGGATTGATGGATGGATGGATGGATGGAGGGATGGACGGATGGATGGTTGGATGGATGGATAGATGATAGATGATGGAAGGATGGATTGATGGATGATGGATGGATGATGGAAGGATGGACGGATGAATGGATGGATGGAAGGATGGATGGATGGATGGATGGATGGATGATGGATGGATGGATGGATGGATGATGGATGGATGGATTGATGGATGGATGGATGGATGATGGATGGATGGATGGATGGATGGATGATGGATGGATGGATGGATGGATGATGGATGGATGGATTGATGGATGGATGGATGGATGATGGATGGATGGATGATGGATGGATGGATGATGGATGGATGGATTGATGGATTGATGGATGGATGGATGGATGATGGATGGATGATGGATGGATGGATGATGGATGGATGGATTGATGGATTGATGGATGGATGGATGGATGGATGATGGATGGATGATGGATGGATGGATGGATGGATGATGGATGGATGGATGGATGGATTGATGGATGGATGGATGGATGATGGATGGATGGATGGATGGATGGATGGATGGATGGATGGATGATGGATGGATGGATTGATGGATGGATGGATGGATGGATGGATGATGGATGGATGGATGGATGGATGGATGGATGATGGATGGATGGATGGATGGATGGATGATGGATGGATGGATGGATTGATGGATGGATGGATGGATGGATGGATGATGGATGATGGATGGATGGATGATGGATGGATGATGGATGGATGGATTGATGGATTGATGGATGGATGGATGGATGGATGGATGATGGATGGATGGATGATGGATGGATGATGGATGATGGATGGATGGATGGATGGATGGATGGATGGATGGATGATGGATGGATGGATGATGGATGGATGATGGATGGATGGATTGATGGATTGATGGATGGATGGATGGATGGATGGATGGATGGATGATGGATGGATGGATGATGGATGGATGATGGATGATGGATGGATGGATTGATGGATGGATGGATGGATGGATGGATGGATGATGGATGGCATGAGCAGCACTGGAGAACGTGGGTCAGAGGGATATAGAATGTAGGCCAGAAGTCAAAACAGGAAGTGACGGGAAGCTGAGTCACTCTTTATTCAGGACTGCTTCTTTAGCTTGATGGCCTCCATTGCTGTCTGTCCCCACCAAACATTTAGATTCACTATAAAAGGGAGCACAGATTATTGATCGTCAAAGTCTGGAGGTAGACTAAACTGGAAAAATTATTAGTGAACTAACTATTAATAGTGAAGCCCACGTAGGAAGCTTGGTATTTGAAAAGTTTGGCTAAAATGGTTTGAAACTGAATTTAAAGCTGATATTCAACACAGACTGTGTTCTTTAAAAGATTGTAGACTTGAACAACCTGCAGGTAAATTCACCTGTAAATAAAGGAATAGACGTAAAGCTGCTTCAGTCTGGTTAACAGGCTGAATGTAATGTTTCCTGTTTTACTGATCATGGGCGTAGGTTTGCATAGGGACCATAGGGACATGTCCCTACCAAAATTTTGAACCGACCTAATTGTCCCGACCAATAATTGGATGTGAGCAACATGTTTCTAATTTACAGCAGTAGTTGTTGCAGCAGTGGCTTCTTTTCCTCTCGCTGCTCCTCTGCCTGGTCTCTCCTGTCCCTTTCATGTAGCAGCGCATGGAGCTGTGCTGCGCTGTTTAACTCCACTCTCATTGGTTGTTCTGCCTTAGGTTCCGCCTTCTCTCTCTCTGATTGGCTGTTTTCTAGTCCTGGCGTGCTTGGAGCACAAAATTGAAAATTTATTCACACTAGAATGCTGCGGTTACTACAATAAATATTAGGCTACAAAACTAGTCCCAATTAAAAAAAATGAATATCATGAACACTAAAAAACAAAAACATTTTTTTTTTTTTCTTTTATAAAGCGAAATATTCTGAGTCAGCCAGGAGTTCTGAAGACACAAAATGGGCAAATAAAGGCTGTAAGCCATCAACATTTCTGATTCTTATCCACAGCCAACTAAAAAAGAAAATGTGAGGGTTTCCTTTTTACCGATATTTAGTTGCTGTTACTGTTTTCATTTTTTTATGACTCTTTGAGAAAGTTCAGGTATAATTATTAGCAGGTGTTATTTCTCTTATAGAGTACAACAACAAGAAATGGGGCCTAAACATCTGCTGTTTTTCATTTAAAAAGCATAATTAGGGTTCCACATAATAATAGTTCTATTTTATTGACTATTTATACTTCTAGAAATAGGATAAAGACAATAACAAACAAAGGAAGAATATAAACATTAATTTTATCTTACATAGATTTCCACACAGTCTATAAGTAAATTAGTACAAACATTAATGTCTGGTAAAAATGCTTGAATCTGGCTGTTTATTTTGGATAATGTTAAATGGGCTCTATGCACAGCTCCACTACTTCCTGAATTTAATGCAGCTCCTTTGTTTCCTGTCTTTCATTACTGGACGAACTGATTAATCCAGGTGTGTCTGGCCAGTTACTTAGGTCATACACACCTGGATTAATCAGTGCATCCAATCATGAAAGACAGGAAACAAAGGAGCTGCATTAAATTCAGGAAGTAGTGGAGCTGTGCATAGAGCCTATTACAGATAAGATAGTGTTATACTGTCTTTTATAATTGTTAAAAATTATTTTATATTTGAATACGGTACAATTAGGCTCATTCTCAGTGTTGTGTTTGTAGATGATTCCACTAAAAAAGAAAATAGACATACAGTAAGGAGCTATTTAAACAGTCAGACAGTAAGCAATATAGGACAATGATAAAAGGTTGTGTTACATTTAATCCTTTACTATTAAAATTGCACTTATACATTATATGATTATAGGAAACACAGATATCCAGTAATAATGATGCAGTGCAGCTTGTAGGTGAAGCAGCTGGCCCTCCAGTGCTTCAGGTGATGTCTAAATAAACCAGGTGAAACTAAAATATTTCCACATTAGGAGTTGTGGATGGAGAATATTGACAGACAAAATTTTTTTTTTAATCTTATATATTATATATATATATATATATATATATATATATATATATATATATATATATATATATATATATATATATATATATATATATATATATTGTATTTTTACAATTTTGGTATAATTACTGATCTAAGTGGATTGCTCTGTAGGGGAAAGGGACATTTATTTTACATTTATATTATGTTTTATAGTCTCCATTCACCAGTTAATGATTAATCACATACTAAATTAGTTGACGATTATTGAAATAATCAATTAATACGATTCATTTTTTCAGCCCTAGATAAAATACATAAAATGGGCTATACAGAGTAACTACAGCCCAGATGTTCAACTTTTATAGTGAAGTTAATATTTTAATGAATGTATTATTTTGCTGGATACAGAGAGAGCATAGTAGGTAAAATATAAGAGTGGGGTTTAACTCTGCACAATTGTATATCTTCAAAAGAAAATACTGTATTTACCTTCTCTATTAGTCATGCAAATGAAACCATTTACAAAGTGGAAAACAGTCCAAATTCCACATTCATCAGAGCCAGTGTTACTTCAAACATTGATAAACAGCATCTAATGAGTGTAGAGCTTATAACATTTTTATTAATGGAGCAAAATCATGCTTTTCTCTTTTAACAATGAATTCGTCTTATCAGTACGGATGCCCACATCGAGCATAAAAAAGGGCACGCATATTGCATAGCACCAATGACACCCGACCAATAGTGTCCCCACCAAAGTTCAAATCAAACCTACGCCCTTGTTACTGATTGATTCTTGCTTATTCCAATGCTTTCTAGTTTTATCGCAGTTTGAATCAGAACTTTTGATAATAACTGGAATTTCCTTCCATAGTCGGGCCATCATGGTTCATTTGGCATCTAAAACATCACCTGTTCTTCTTCTGCAGCAGATCTGCTGATTTTTCTGCCACATCTGGACACAGACTGGGTGTTAAACCCTGCAGTAGCCTCTGACAGTATGATTTCCTGCATAATGAGAAGTGTGAGTTGATCTGGTGGCGCTCTGAGGCAGTCTGCTTTGGAGCGTGCTAACATGTCATTGTTTTCAGAGATTGGAGAGGAGCAGAGGAAGCTGCAGCTGAAATCTGTCTGTAATTAGAGCCAACCCTAAAGAAGCTGATGGATCCACTTCCTTCTTAGATGGAGAGACTGTTGGACAAAGAAAGGATGCCTGGGAGCTGATAGACTCTGGACTCATCATGGTTTCATGTATGGACTCCAAAAACTTCTTTAGCTTTAAATCATCTTTCATCAAATGGAATGAAGACAAACAGCAGCAGCAGCCTCAGCAGCGATCCCTCTGATTCTCATGGGGTCCGCAGGCTGCCGGTAGAGGGCGCTATCAGTGCGGAGGAGTTTGCTTTTAGCGGCGCATTCTCCCTGAACGGTAAGAAAGCATCACAGGGGCTGCTGACAGGAAAGATGCAAGGCTTTGAAAAAGACATCATTACAAGCAGGTGATGCGTTCAGGTGTCTCATCCCTTCATTGCTGAAAATTATGCGTTCAGGTGTCTCACCCCTTCATGGCTGAAGGTGATGAAGCTGCATAGATCCTTCAGGATGAATTAGAGCAGAATACACATTTAGAGTAAATGTTGCTACTGATGGGAACCGGTGGGGGCCCATGGCAGACTGGGAGCCACAGGATGCGATCAAAGTTGATAGACGGAGACAGTTAAAGATAGCAGGCAGTAAATTACCTGTAGGACCTCCCTCCCTCCTATTGGCTCCCAGCTGGAGCTGTTCCTCCCTGCTGCAGTGTGATTGGCCCGTGGAGCTGCCAGTCTCCTCCCAGCTCCGCAGCTCAGAGTCACGGACTGAGTCTGGATCAGGCAGCGGCGCACTTTTCCTCCGGGTTCCAGCTTTTCCCTGCGTGGTGGTTCTGTTCGGACCGCAGAGCTGCTGGTCTTCAGAGACCGAGCGGACAGAGACATGAGGACCAACACGGGCGGAGCGCATCGCCTCTGGCTGCTGGCGCTTCTGCTGAGTCTGTGCGCAGAGGTGAGAAGTTGATCTGCTGCGCTCCTTGGAGCTAAGCTTTCTGCTCATGGTGCTTTTACCAACATGAAATCTCTTTAATGCAAATGTTTCCTCTCACCGGTTTGTTATATTTAATTGCTGAACTAAGTTCTAATAAAGTCTAAAAACTAAGGCTGGTCCTTCTTCTCTGCTGCATGAAAATGATCAGAAAACTTTTTATCGTTATTCTTCCACAATCTTGTTGATTTCTGGAGAGAAAATCTTCAGGAGGAAACTCTCTGCTGCGACCTGAGCTGCAGCTGAGACCTAAACTGGACCTGGAGGACCAGACATCTGAATGACCAGACACCTGGAGGACCAGACACCTTGAGGACCAGACACCTAGGGGACCAGACACCTTGAGAACCAGACACTTGGAGGACCAGAAACCTGGACATGGGGAACTAGAAAACCAGACCTGGAGGACTAGAAACCTGGACCTGGAGAAATAGAAACCTGGGGGACCAGAAGCCTGGAACTGGAGGACTAGAAACCTGGAGGACTAGAAACCTGGAGGACCAGACACCTGGAGGACCAGAAACCTGGAGGACTAGAAACCTGGACCTGGAGGACTAGAAACCTTGACCTGGAGGACTGGAAACCCAGACCTGGAGGACTAGAAACCTGGATCCGGGGGACTAGAAACCCAGACCTGGAGGACTAGAAACCCCGACCTGGAGGACTAGTATCCTGGACCCGGAGGACCAGAAACCTGGACCCGGGGGACTAGAAACCCAGACCTGGAGGACTAGAAACCCCGACCTGGAGGACTAGTATCCTGGACCTGGAGGACCAGAAACCTGGACCCGGGGGACTACAAACCTGCAGGACCAGAAACCTGGACCTGGAGGACCAGAAACCTGGACCTGGAGGACCAGACACCTGGAGGACCAGACACCTGGAGGACCATAAACCCGGACCTGGAGGACCAGACACCTGGAGGACCAGAAACCTGGAGTACCAGAAACCTAGACCTGCAGGACCAGAATCCTGGAGGACCATAAACCCGGACCTGCTCTTTAAGCCCTCACAGGTTCCAGAGAAACTGGGTTGGTTTCAAAGTTGGGGTTCCGACCCTGCTTGGGTTCCTTTGAAGCAGAACTAGACCAATAGATTGTAAGCTGCTTCTTCTCTGTTCGTCTGTCCTCCGTCTGCTGTCTCCAACATTTAGGATTCTATCTGCTGATCCTCATCTGTGACCATGAAACTCTTCTTGTTTTGCTTCAGTCAGAGAACTAAGCTGGAATCAAACCTTCAACCCAAAGATCTCTGATCATTTCCCATGTTTTGCTTCCTGTATCCTTGTCCTGTCAGAGGAATCCTCCTTATTTTCTTTGCTATTAAAACAGGAGATTGTCTTCACGTTTGATGAGTAAAGATCTAATTTCTAAAAGGTTTCACGAAAACAGTGTTTTTAATTGCTGTGAAATTAAAGGAAATGGGGAAATTGTTTTTTTCTTCAATAGTTTGATTAAACCTAATTATGATGACCAAATATTCATTAATAGGCCATAAGTTGGATTTCTTTCCTTTGCTAAAGGATTTTCAGACTCAGAAGCATTCAGGGAAGCATCCAGCAGATGCTGCCGATCGCTGGGATTAATACATGTCCTGATTTTATAATCTTAAAGCCTGAAAGTCGTTAATTTTGATGCATTAAATGAATAACAGAAACTGGACGTCTGGTTAATGGTCTCTGAACTCTGATCTAATCCTGGATCAGCAGCTTCATCCTCTCTCTGTCTTTCTCAGGTGTGTCACTCCTCTGGTTACTTCGAGCTGCAGATCCTCTTGGTGGAGAACCGAGGAGGTCAGCTCCTCAACGGTGAATGCTGTGACACAGTGGATGGCGCAGTGCGGGGGAGCTGTGGCCCGGATGAGTGCGACACCTACTTCAGATTTTGCCTAAAGGAATACCAGCAAGATCTGAAGACTGGCGGACAGTGCCATTATGGGTCAGAGGTCACCAAGGTCATTGGTGGGAATAGTTTCCAGTTCAAGGGAAGCCAGAAGGGCGGGCATGAGTCGGGAAAGATCGTCATTCCCTTCCAGTTCTCGTGGCCGGTGAGTGGAGCCCTGATCCTTCAACTGCTGCTTATGCAAAATGTTTTTCTCCATGAAGATGGTGAGAGATCAGACTGCTCTCACCTCTTTTCTACTGTGGCTCTAAATCCCGGTTATCCTTGGTTGCTTTCGGACGTCGTCTGTCTGCTGTCTGAACAGACTTATGAACGTCTCTGGCTCTTTTTTCATCCCATCATAGCCTAGTTCATGCTGTTAGACAGGTCCCGCCGTCTGAAATAGCTACCACTGTCTAAACTAGGTCCCACCGTCTAAACTAGGTCCAACCGTCTGAACTACAGGTGCTGGTCATAAAATTAGAATATCATGAAAAAGTAGATTGATTTCAGTAATTCCATTTAAAAAGTGAAACTTGTATATTATATTCATACATTACATACAAACTCATATATTTCAGATGTTTATTTTGTTTAATTTTGATGATTACAAATGACAACAAATGAAAATCTCAAATTCATCATATCAGAAAATTAGAATATTACTGAAGACCAATAAAAACAAAGGATTTATAGAAATGTTGGCCAACTGAAAAGTATGAACATGAAAAGTATGAGCATGTACAGCACTCAGTATTTAGTTGGGCCTCCTTTGGCCTGTATCACTGCAGCAATGCGGCGTGGCATGGAGTCGATCAGTCTGTGGCACTGCTCAGGTGTTATGATAGCCCAGGTTGCTCTAATAGTGGCTTTTAGCTCTTCTGAATTGTTGGGTCTGGTGTATTGCATCTTCTTCTTCACAATACCCCATAGATTTTCTATGGGGTTAAGGTCAGGAGAGTTTGCTGGCCAATTAAGAACAGGGATACCATGGTCCTTCAACCAGGTACTGGTAGCTTTGGCACTGTGTGCAGGTGCCAAGTCCTGTTGGAAAATGAAATCTGCATCTCCAAAAAGTTGGTCAGCTGCAGGAAGCATGAAGTGCTCTAAAACTTCCTGGTATGTGGCTGCGTTGACCCTGGACCTCAGAAAACACAATGGACCAACACCAGCAGATGACATGGCACCCCAAACCATCACTGACTAGGGAAACTTTACACTGGACTTCAAGCAACGTGGATGAAGTGCCTCTCTTCTTTTCCTCCAGACTCTGGGACCTTGATTTCCAAAGGAAATGCAAAATTTACTTTCATCAGAGAACATGACTTTGGACCACTCACCAGCAGTCCAGTCCTGTTTCTCTTAAGCCCAGGCAAGACGCTTCTGACGCTGTCTGTGGTTCAAGAGTGGCTTGACACAAGGAATGCGACAGCAGAAACCCATGTCTTTCATACGTCTGTGTGTGGTGGTTCTTGAAGCACTCCCTCCAGCTGCAGTCCACTCTTTGTGAATCTCCCCCACATTTTTGAATGGGTTTTGTTTCACAATCCTCTCCAGGGTGCGGTTATCTCTCTTGCTTGTACACTTTCTTCGACCACATCTTTTCCTTCCCTTCGCCTCTCTATTAATGTGCTTGGACACTGAGCTCTGTGAACAGCCAGCCTCTTTAGCGATGACCTTTTGTGTCTTGCCCTCCTTGTGCAAGGTGTCGATGGTCGTCTTTTGGACAACTGTCAAGTCAGCAGTCTTCCCCATGATTGTGTAGCCTATAGAACTAGACTGAAAGACCATTTAAAGGCTTTTGCAGGTGGTTTGAGTTAATTAGCTGATTAGAGTGTGGCACCAGGGGCCATCAATTTTGAACCTTTTCACAATATTCTAATTTTCTGATATGATGAATTTGAGATTTTCATTTGTTGTCATTTGTAATCATCAAAATTAAACAAAATAAACATCTGAAATATATGAGTTTGTATGTAATGTATGAATATAATATACAAGTTTCACTTTTTAAATGGAATTACTGAAATCAATCTACTTTTTCATGATATTCTAATTTTATGACCAGCACCTGTAGGTCCCAACGTCTAAACTAGGTCCCACCGTCTGAACTAGGTCCAACCGTCTGAACTAGGTCCCACCATCTGAACTAGGTCCCACCGGCTGAACTAGGTCCAACCGTCTGAACTAGGTCCCACCGTCTAAACTAGGTCCCACCGTCTGAACTAGGTCCCACCGTCTGAACTAGGTCCCACCGTCTAAACTAGGTCCCACCGTCTGAACTAGGTCCCACCGTCTAAACTAGGTCCCACCGTCTGAACTAGGTCCCACCATCTGAACTAGGTCCCACCGTCTAAACTAGGTCCCACCGTCTGAACTAGGTCCCACCATCTGAACTAGGTCCCACCGTCTAAACTAGGTCCCACCGTCTGAACTAGGTCCCACCATCTGAACTAGGTCCCACCGTCTAAACTAGGTCCCACCGTCTGAACTAGGTCCCACCATCTGAACTAGGTCCTATCGTCTAAACTAGGTCCCACCATCTGAACTAGGTCCCACCGTCTGAACTAGGTCCCAATGTCTCTCAAGGTCCAACCGTCTGAACTAGGTCAAATGGTCGTGGTTGTATGCCATCCATCCATCCATCCATCCACCCATCCATCCATCCATCCATCCATCCATCCATCCATCCATCCATCCATCCATCCATCCATCCATCCATCCATCCATCCATCATCTAACCCCAGTCAACCTCGGCAGATGGCCGCTTACACTGAGCCTGGTCCTGCTGGAGGTGGAGGTTTCTTCTTTTTCAAAGAGAGTTTTTCCTCTCCACTGTAGCTACAAGCATGCTTAGTGTGAGGGATTGCTGAAGATTCAATGAGTCGATGCAATTAGCTGGTTTACCTTAGATAGAAAACTTTGAATCGATCTGACTGGATGATCTGGTGAACTGTAAAGTGCCTTGAGATGACGTGTTGTGAATTGGAGCTATAGAAATAAACTGAATAGAATTGAATTGAATCCATCCAGCACCCATCCATCCATTCTTTCTGGCGATTAAGAAACAGGGAACTGATTCAGCAGGTTCATCCAGAACCTGCTGTGCTCCTCAGGTGGAGGAGTTCCATGGGAACCAGATCAGAGCTGCTTGAAGCTGCAGTGACATCAACAGATCTTTATCAGGGAGGCTTCATGAGTTGCGTCATTGGTTTGATTCCCACAGTAGCTGTTGATTGTGATTCATTGTTAGGAGGGACATCAGAACAGGAAGAAAGCCAGTAATCAGGGAATGTTCTGAAGGCTTCAGCTAGTAATCAGCCATCAGCAGAAAAACAAACACATAAAGCCTCTAATGACTGATTCTGTGACTTCCTGCTTAGCAGCTTTTAGCCTCATCTTAAGCCTTTGATCATTATTCATCATGACCTGGAACCAGTCAGTGGATGATGGAGTTATTGCTCACAGCTGAGGTGTAGAGGCAGCCTTTTCTATCCTGTTAGTTAAAGGAATAGTACACCCAAAACATGATTAGCCTTCATTTTCTACTCACCCCCATGCTGAACAACACTCTGGAGTACTTTTTTGATATCTCAAATGCATCTGGAGATCTGGGAGGCTTCTTGCTGTCTGCTGACATTCAAATAATGGAGGTCCATGGCGCCCGAGACAGAAAGGTCCATAAAAGTCCACAAAAACGTGTCAATATTCCTCCATACTGCTCGTCCAATGTAATCCAAGTGTCCTGAGTGGGTAGCATCCAGAATTTACTCGAAACGAAGTCATTTAGAACGTTTTAGATTCTAAACAGTAGTGTATAGGATTTCCTAATAGCGCCCCCATGCGCGCTCACGATTCTACGGAAGCCGGCAGACCAAACCGGAAGAAAGTGCGCATTCAGCGTCTGCTCTGCCGATAATGCAAGCGTAGAAGAAGAAATGTGCTGTTTACCTGTGCAAAGAAAGAAACAACGAAAGAAAAATGTCTGAGGACTTCAGTGATGAGGAAGAGCATGAGTTCTTTGCCGAGCTGAATGCGCTGGTTTGGTCTGCCGGCTTCCGTAGAATCGTGAGCGCGCATGGGGGCGCTATTAGGAAATCCTATACACTACTGTTTAGGCTCTAAAACGTTCTAAATGACTTCGTTTCGAGTAAATTCTGGATGCTACCCACTCAGGACACTTGGATTACATTGGACGAGCAGTATGGAGAAATATTGACACGTTTTTTGTGGACTTTTATGGACCTTTCTGCCTCGGGCACCATAGACCTCCATTATTTGAATGTCAGCAGACAGCAAGAAGCCTCCCAGATCTCCAGATTTGAGATATCAAAAAAGTACTCCAGAGTGTTGTTCAGCATGGGGGTGAGTAGAAAATGAAGGCTAATCATGTTTTGGGTGTACTATTCCTTTAAAAGGCCTGAGTTTATAGCACCTTGGTCAAGCCAGGAGACCTGACCAAAGTGCTTTACACTTCATTCACTCACTGATGGTGGTCAGCTGCATTGTAGCCACAGCTGCCCTGGGGCTCACTGATAGAAGCCGGGCTGCCGCACGCTGGTGCCACCATCAGCAAGCAATAAGGGTGAAGTGTCTTGTCCAAGGACACAATGATAGTGAAACATTGAACCATTAACCCAGGTCTTGGAGGTTTTGGTTCCAAGCTTTGACTAGACCTTTTCCTTGAGTTCAGGTTCAGGCCCTTCAGAGTGGAGCATCTCCGTGTCTGTGACCTGCTCTTCACCTGCAGATGGCAGAATTCATGGTTCCATCGTTGGACCATCTTATCCAGAAGTTTGGAGCATTAAAACAGCCCCACATTATCACTCTGCCACCACCGTGTTTAACTGTCCGATGGAGCTTTTTTTATTTTTGCATCAGATGGACCTGGACCTTGCTTAGAAGATGAAGTCCAACAAGTCTTTAGGATGTTTTCTGGAAAATATCAGACAAGACTTTGTGTTGTTTTAAAATGAAAATAACTGGAGATTAGCACATGGTCCTCACAACATATAGCAGAATGAGAATATCTATATGTGCGGATGTGTGTTGTGGGTTGTGGTGGGGGGGTATGATGGTCCATTTCTACAGGCTGTGGTCCTCCATCCATCACTCCCCACAGTCAGCTGTCAGCAGAGTGGGCCATGGAGTAGTAATCTGGGGCCCTGGGGGTGGATCGGGTTTCCACTGAGCTGTGTGACACAGGCGCTGGATGTCAGTCACACCAACAACTCAAACAAGTCAAGATCCTGGTGAATGTGGGCTGGGGACCCCGGTCCCTCACAGCCTCTCAGGTTCAGGCTCTGTCTGGTATTGGATCATTGTTGTGTTAGATACACTTTGAACACGGTAGCAGTGGCATCATGCTGTGGGAACCTGGTGGGTAGAGCAAAGACCTGGTCATTACAAGTTGGTTTAGATGAGGCCTGTCCACAGTCAGGCCTGAGGGGCCGGGTTCTTCCAGGGGTCCTGCAGGTTAGACGGTTCTTCTGGTTTAGATGGACTGAAGCTGGAATCATCTTCAACATGCAGGAGCTTCTAGGACTGCCTGCAGACACAGAGCTGCTGCATAGCCGCAAACATGAGCCTGAAACATGGTTTGATGTTTGAGTCTGCAGATTGAGGCTGCATGTCTAGGAATTCATGTCTGATGTGACTCGTGTTTGTTCAGCTGGTATCTGAGGGGTTATTTATAGGAAGCCTAATGGCTGCAGAACCTGATCATGGCTCAGAGGTTTGGGCCTGGGTCGGGGGGGGGGAGGTTCCATCAGAGGTAGTCAACTTAGACCAAATAAATGCCAGGGACTGGTGCTCAGGGCTATTTCCTTGGTCTCTGTTATTTTGCATTAAAGCAGCTGGAATCACCCCATCTTCACATCATGTCTCCTTCTGCTCTCATGGACGATTGTCGTCTATCCTGTAATCCTACAGCTTCTTAAGCCTAATGAACCCCAACAGCTGCAGGTAGCTGATACTGTATAACCACAGGACATCCCAAATGTCCACCGTTAGGGACAAAACTCTGTCCTTCAAACTCTACCTGCAGAGTGTGGGAGGGAGTTGGAGGATGGAGCAGCCTGCTGGCTGATTGATCACTGACGTCCTACAGCAGAACAACCTTCCAGGGTTCCTACAGATGTAGCTCTGCCTCTCAGCACATAAAAACATTTTATTACAAGTGAACAAATATCAGAAATATCCCTTATTGTCCCTCAGTGGGGAGATTTAGGTTTCCCAGTAGCAAACTGATGACGTGTCATTGAGAGCTGGGCTCTAGATGCAGACAGACACTTTTATAAACAACATAAGAGGAGGACATTAAAGAGAAGAAGGATAAAGGAATACTGATAGAGAACAAGTGGAAGTGAAGGTTAAAGCAGGGGCCCTGAGTGAAACAAAAGACAGTTCAGAATTTCAGAAATGTAAAAACTTTGCAAGTAATCAAATTAAGCTATTTTTCTGTATCCAAGCAACCAACTGACTGATAGAAGTGAATAAATAGAGAAAAAGCAGCAGATATTAAGACCTCCTGGGAGGAAGGATCTGTGATAACGCTCCACGGTGCATTTAGGGACAGACTTCCCACAAAGAAATGATTGGCCAATCACTGATCTCCTTCCTGCTGGTTTTCCTAAGTCTGATCGCATCAGAAGACGTTCTTCTCCACTACATGAGCTTCAGCAGATGAGCTGAAATCAGCCTGACCTTTTCCCAACTAGCGTCTCCTGAAACCAACTGTTTCCCAACGTCTCTCAGAAGGAGCTTCTTTTCCAATACTCTGAGGAATCTTTTACAAACTCCTAAAACCTCTGTGTCGTTTTAATAACAACCGCTGCACATGTTTACACTTTGCCCTGATGGTTTCTGACTGAAATAAAAATATAGAGCAAAGTAGAAAGAAGTGAAACCTCTCAGCAATAGGACTGGTTCAGCCGAGTAGGACTTGGAGGCTGAGGTCGTCTCTACAAATCAAACCTTGACAGCTGTGCAGCTTAATGTTTCTAATGAGCAGACATCTTAATCAGAGGAACCAAACTCTCCTGGTTGTGTGTTAGGTATTGATAATCCAAACTTCTAGCTTCTCTGCTTCGCCCCAATCCTCCCTGTGGAGGCGGAGTCAATGCTCTCAGCTCCCCGAGTTTGTACGGTTGGGGGGTGGGGTGGAGTGCGCTGTGTAGATTGGAGGCTAAAGAGGTAAAGGTCTGCAGATTTGTGCAGCTCATTTCTGTCCTTCTAAAAGTAGCTTCAGGTGTTTGCATGAATGAAAGGCAGTGAATATTAAACTGTAATAATGTAAAATACCAGATATGTTGGCTGAGCTTCCATCAGCTAGTCCAAGGACATAAAACTCATGCTGCGTTCACACTGGACGCAGCAGGGGCAGCAAAATCGCGTCTGCTGCTTCCTTTTTGCTGCTTGTACCAGTTTAGTTCTGACGCGGTTAAAAAGGTGTGTCTGACGCGCGTTGGGCAGAGCTACTCTATCCTTTCTTTGCCTTGCAGCTGTATTTGCTGTGATCAGTGGAAAATAAAGTCGTTTTAATATGTTTTTAAGTGAGAAAATCCACCTGAAAACTAAATCATTGCAGTCAGTTCATCCAGATTACCATCCTGCCTTCCAATATTATTTCTGTCGGAGCCGCTCAGACCCCCACATACCAGCGGCGCTGTCAGTAGGAATCCAATTCAACAGCAGCCTCTGGCCTGGTCGCCTCCTCGCAGTTTGCCCCGGCGGCTTGAAGGTGATTTTCACGTACGTAATCCAAACTGCAGGCACCAGGATAATAAAAGCGAACATATTCTGTCGGCAGGTTTCAGCATTTTAAGTTAATTTAGGCATTAATAAACTGTTTCAGAGGAGTGATCATAGCGCTCTGTATCATCAGCGATGTGTCTGTCTCACGGCCAGCTCCCAGATCAGCGTCTCTAATTGGTTGACGTGGCACGTTGAGCAGCAAAAGTTAAATTTTTCCATCTCGAGCACCAGCACGTTTGCAGCGCGTCGCGCTCGTCAGATGCTGAAAGTATGGTAAGCCAAGAAGGCCACTTTTCGCATTGAATAATCGCGTTAAGATTGAAAGTAACCCGCTAAAAAAGCGCGTTTTCCCGAGATTTCGCCGTGTTTTACCAACAAGCGCCGCCTTTTATGTGCGTCATGATGGTACTGCAAGACACGCATATTTTATGCGCGCTCTTACCGAGACAACTTGCGCAAAATACGCAAAAGACGGCGAAAAAAGCGGCCAAATCTCGGGAAACCTGGCGTCTTTAGAGGGTTACTTTCAATCTTAACGCGATAATTCAATGCGAAAAGTGGCCTTCTTGGCTTGCCATAGAAACGCTACCGATGCGCTGCTTCAGCTGCTCAGACGCGTCTTGATGCGCGTCAACCATTGACTTTGCATTAGGGCTGCAACTAACGATTATTTTAAAAATCGATGAATCGGACGATTATTTTTTCGATTAATCGATGAATCGGACAAAAAATATTTTTTATATTAACCTCTTTATTCCAAAATAAACATTTTAGACAGAACAAACAAGCACACAAGTACAGGTTGCTCATTAACTGTACTGGTGCAATATGAAAAATAAATGTTTGTGTTAAAACTACGCAAACTTACATGAGAAATGTAGCTGTACATCCACAAAATATAAGTAGGACTTATATTATATACTTCCATAAATTGCAGGATCTTCTTTACTTTATCTTCGCCAGAAGATTTAAACTTTAAAAGCCTTGCCCTCATAATTTGCAAGTTAATTTATTTATAAAGTAAATGTAAACGCTGCTTAAGCTAATTCAAATGAAATTAAAAGTAAAATAAGTAGCCAACCTTATCACTGTCTGTAACCTACTAACACGGTAAGGAAAGCATCAGATGAGCTACCTGAGAAACTAACGTTACGTTTCCCCACTTTAAAACCAAACAAACATGGTGGTTCCGTGCCATGTTAATTTCTTTTGAAAAAAGTTGCATGTTATCACTTTTTTCGCTTTACAAAGCGCAGGCTATTTAAATTATTGTGATCAATTTGCGCAGTCAATCCCGGTGCATGCGCGCTTCATTTGCAGTCTGGACGCTGAGGCTCTGACTGCAGCGCTGAGAGGGACTCCTGCGGGAGCGGGGGGAGGCGCCCCACGGCAGAGTAGGAACGATACATGCTTTCACGTAAGAGTCTCCATAAGCCGCCAGTGAAACCGAAAAAAGTCGCCAGATTTGTCGCTAGTCGCTTTTTTGAAAAATAGTCGCTGGAGGGGTCTGAAAAGTCGCTGAGTTGGCAACACTGCTCCTGCGGCGCTGACTCGCTCTGCCATATTTTTTTTTCTTCCTCTTTCAGTCAAGAGGCAGTGATGACGGCGCGGCAGATGACGCAATAATCGCGCGACACAACTAATCGATGATGAAATTCGTTGCCAACGCTTTTAAAAGTCGATTTTTATCGATTTTATCGATTCGTTGTTGCAGCCCTACTTTGCATGTTAACTCGCTGCTTCTGCTGCGCCTGCTGCGTCCGGTGTGAACGCAGCATTAGACAAGCTTTATTGTCATCTTGTACACAGAGTGTATATAAAAGGAAATTTCCCTGCATACAGCTTTTCTCCAGTGAATCAGCAGCTTAGCAGTGAAATGAACATTTTCTTTCATAAAGTGCAGCACTGATCAGATGTGGGAGAAAAGGAAAACCAGTTTAAAGTCATGGAGCAAAAGGCATATATATTGAAGGTTCAGAGCAGTGCAAATACATAGATATGTTGCAAAATGCAGTGGAATGGATTATGAAAAAAACAGTAATAGAATCAGTAAGTTGAACTTCAGCTTTTTTAGGGACACTGTTGGTCCTCTGTTTGAAAAAGAACAAATTAAAAATATTGATCTGATAATAATTGATGCAACCGATACACATCCTATGGCAGCCCTTCACAGCTAATTTCTACCGGCAGAAACGTAATCAGTAATATGTTACAATGATTACCTAAAGATTTTACAGTAACTAACGCTGAAACTAATTACTTTATAAAAGTCCCTAACATTTTATTTCTTACTTATCATGTATAAAAAAAGAACTATAGTTTCCTGGTGTAAGACACTTAACAGCAATGTGCACATGTATGCACGCATAACTGCAATGTGCACCATACGCGCACGTAACAGCAAAGTGCACATGTATGTGCATGTAACAATGGACGTGTATGTGCAAGAAGCAACAGCGTGCACGCGTACGCGCACCTAACAGCAATGTACATGTGTAACAGCAACGTGCCCGTGTACGCGCAGGCTTGCCTTGAATTGACAGCGTTCCTGCAGTAAAGCTGCTGAAGACTGAATGTTCCTTTGATTTTATGTTTGGGAATATAAACTTTTGACCCCGCCTCTCTCGCCCATAGACCACTGGAGAAGATTCATAACAAACACCTTATATCGCATAATTAACCCTTAGGTTGAATTTAAAATTCCAATATGAAAGTTTTTCAAACTCTTCAGCATTTTAAAACATAAAAAGTAACTGCGTAGTTACTTTACCTTCACTCAGCAGTAACTGAGTTACTAACTCAGAGGACGGCTGGATGTAGTGGGATTAACTGGATAATGGAGATCTGAAACTAGAGTCTATCCTCATCAGAATCCAGGATGTTTATTTTAGATATCTGGAAGTGAAAGCCAACAAACATCAATGGGAAACGTATTGTCATTTCTACTATAAAATTTACATTCAAGGCATGGCTCGTTGTTAGCCATCGCCCGATCGCCCGGGGCAAGTAGTTTTTATTGTCGGGAGAGTACAAATTTCAGATCGCAAAAAAAAATGATTTATCACTCAAAATTACTTTAAAATCACAGACATTCGCTGAAAACGAACCACAAGCATTGCCGGCGCCATCTTTGTTGTTTTGTTTTTGTCACATTCTCGCGTGATTTGAAAAAGGCAGCGTGATTTTCCGTTAGATGGCGTGATTCAGCTCTTGGGGAGAGAATTCTGTAGAGCAGCAGCCGGATGATAATACTAATTGTATGCGCACAGTGTAAATATTTCTATCATATGGCAGTCTTCTGTACAGTGGTCATACATTAGGCAAGGCAAGGCAAGACAAAAATTTATTTGTATAGCACAATTCAGTACAAAGACAATGCAAAGTGCTTTACATGATTAAAATACAGGAAGATAAAACAGAATCAAAGCAAGTAGGAAAAAAAAATGTTAAAAAATGTTCATTAAATTTTTTTTCTCTTGGACATTGGAGTGGTGCATTTAAATGTTATAGAGCTAAACATGTTAAATTGGTGAGTACTAGTAGTGTAAGTTTTTAATCTGTCATGTTTGTTTTTTAGATTTTTAACATTACAATTTATATTTTTCCAAGCACACAACAGTGTAAAGCAAAGTTTAGTTTGAAAAGAATGTGCAGGAAGGATTGAAAAGCATGTTAACACGGTAATGTAGGCTTGAGTTCATTATCTGAGGCATGCATATACACACCAGGAACCTGGAAACTTAAAAAATAATGAATTACAAAAAACATTTAAAAAACAAACATGTTTCATTGATATATATACAGAAATGAATATTAGGAACTATATTTATCAAACATTATACTGGGCAAGTAAAAATTGTTTCTGGGCAAATGAAATGTGAAAGTCACTTGCCCAAAGGGCAAGTGGTAAAAATCCTTAACGTCAACCCCTGCAAGGTATCAGAAATGGCCATTTTGACTTGTAAGAAATTTAGTTCAGATATCAATAATAAATGTTTTTAGTCAAGCTAAAAAATGTCAAAATGGCTTGCCATACCGATGCTCCAACGTGTGATGCTTGAGGCTCGACACGTGTGGCTACATTTTTGCCCTAAATAGTAAAACAGTAAATGGTCTGAACTTAGTTTCCTGACTCGACCAAAAGGCTTTACACCACATTCAGCTGCATTGTAGCCACAGCTCTGGATGCTGTTTGTCATTTTCAAAGCATCACCTGCTCAGATGAAGGTTTGTTCCACCATGAAAAGGTTTATATTTGAACTAAGCAACAACAGAGGGAAAACATATCCCTGTTTAAATGTATTCTCTGTATTTATTCTTCATTTTCTAGCATAGAATATAGAAATGCACAGAGGTAGGTCTCATCCTTTTTATGTAACAAAACAGGAAAAGAAAACATTAAAGCAACATAAATGAATATGCACTGGAACTAGAAGAGTACCTGACAGCTTTTAACTACATATTAACTTTAATATTTTAACATTTAACATGAACTGGGCTGTAGGCAGGGACAAAACCATCATCTCAGACACGAGGAGGACAAATATTTAGAGGGATTTATCAGTACTTCACATTGAGTTTCATCTTTCCTGTTTAATCTCTGTGAAAACCTTTTCCTAATCCCTGACTGGTTTCTTCCTGGAATAGATATTGTCAGGAAGTTCTAATCTCTCCTTACCTGTAAAGACCCTCCATCATTGTCCCTCATGCTGGCCTCTGGTCCACCTCCTTCCACACTCTGCTCTATCATCACAATAAATGATAAAAAATCTGGAAAGCAATGTTTGGAGCTGGAATTAGAAAGAGAAGCAGTAAACAGAGCTGTGACATTTAACTTTAACGTCACTTTTATGCCTTATTTTTCATCTCTTCTCTGACTCTCCTCTCTCTGTTGTGACCAAATCAATGTTAAATGACGTTAAACAACGTTACACAGTTTGTTTGGAAAAAAACATCATGTTGCTAACGTTCAGCTCTGCACAGCATCATTTCTGTGTCCATCTCCTGGGTCTCATGGTGCATTCAAAGACAGCTTGGAAATACAACTTTCTACACATTAATAAATACTTTACTGTTGTAACGGGTGATAACAGTGCTGGGGAAGGAGAAGGAACGTGGGGGCGGGGGAAATGTCCCACGTCCGTTACACCCAGAGCTGCAGGTCTATGTCCTGTAGTCCACACCATGTCATTTATCTTAACATTTCAAACACGTTTCTTAGATTATCAGCTACATCTAAAAAAAACAGTGTGATTTCTACAAACTTCTGCTGTAAAAACTGTGTTGGATGTATTTTATTGGATCTGATCATGATGAGTGGAGCTAAAGAAGCAGACGGCACAATGACTGCTGGGTTAGAGGGACGGTAAAGACGACAGAGCTGCAGCCGACAGGCAGGCAAACAGAGCTGCAGGCGGCGGGCGGGCAGACGGAGCTGCAAGCGACAGGCGGGCAGACGGAGCTGCAGCCGGCGGGCGGGCAGACGGAGCTGCAGGCGGTAGGCAGGCAAACGGAGCTGCAAGCGACAGGCGGGCAGACGGAGCTGCAAGCGACAGGCGGGCAGACGGAGCTGCAGCCGGCGGGCGGGCAGACGGAGCTTCAGCCGGCGGGCGGGCAGACGGAGCTGCAGCCGGGGGGCGGGCAGACGGAGCTGCAGGCGGTAGGCAGGCAAACGGAGCTGCCAGCGGAGCTGTGAGAGGAAAGAAGCAGCAGCAGGATGGTATTACTGGTAGAGAGAAGGGAGGCAGGGGTCAGCAGGGCTCCAGATATCTTCTGGGTGAAGGTTCAGCAGGATTTCTCCACTCTTCTCCAGCTGTAGAATCTATTGCCTAACATTTCCCTCACATACAAACTTCTGCAATCCTCATACATCTGGAGGGGTGGGTGGGCTGTCAAGACATTGATTGGGTCAGAAATGGCTCCTGCCTTCATTGGATGGCAGCGGTCCAGTTAGTGTTTGTCACTGCAGGCCTTATTTTAGCCATCGTCTCATTGTTGATGGTTACTCATTTACACACTTGCAAACAGTTTGGACAGGAAGTAGATTAGTGGTGTAGACGGGGGCTAATGATGCTATTAGCTGCCGATAAAACAGCCCATGCAGTCAGTAAAGTTTCAGCTTATGTAGAACAGTCAGAAAAGCGTGTCTTTGAACGCAGCACAGTGCTGCACAACAGCTCCATCCACCTGCCTGAGCTGCAGCCAGAGGTCAGAGGTCACTGGCCTGTGGCTAACACTGATCTGTTGCACATCTCTAATCTTCCCCTCTCAGCCAGGAGAATGGAGCCCAGAGATGGCTGGTGTTATCATGCATCCAGGCTGTGATGGACAAATACAGCTAAAAACGGAAACATCTTTATGCAAACAAAACTACTGCTGCTGCCATCAACGCCTCAGATTATACATGATGGAGCCTGTTTTTCAGTGACACATCGATGTTTTGGAGATGGCTGAACTAAAAATACAAACAAATAATCACCATGACTGGTTTAAGATTTATTTCTAGATTAACATGACCTGTTTCGTTCTTAGAGGGACCTTCTTTCAGGGTTGGTTTGGTCGGCGTCCACTAGAGGGCTCCACCTCTTATCCATAGACTGAGCTACACTCATTAAAGGGAATGGATTGTATCTGCAGGAGTCTTCCTGAAGTTCACGCGGCTGTGAAAGTGGACGCATGCAGGTCTCTGCTTCCTCTAGCTCAACATGATAACGTATTGTTACAAGTTTTAAACACAGGATGATGAGTGCGCTGCACCAAGTGGAAACAAAGGGCCGTCATTTCATTTTGTCCGATGGTCAAAACTTAAGGAAATAATAAACGGCTAAATTAACAAATCAATTGGTGGATGAGGAACGTACCTTTACAGCCCTCCTGCTTAACAATGACTAGTTCATCAATAAGATGAGTCAACCTTACATAACCTGACCAATGGATAACTGGCTTGCCTGCTTTATTCCTTTCTCCCAGAGCAGTTATGGTCTAGAGGCTCATCCTCCATGCAAACATTTAAGCCATGATGTCATTCTTCTCAGAGTCTTTAAACGTTCTCCGTCTAGAAGGCAGGAATCTCCTCTTGGACCTGTTATCAGTCTCAGTTTCCACTTCTCATAATCTCCTCCTAACCTGAACACCAACCCCACACCTCCCCGCCCATCTCTCTGCTGGTTCTGGTCTCTCTTCTCATGCTACCAGATCCAGTTCCAGCTCAAAGGTCCAATCGCGGCTCTGCCATTTAGGAACTTATCCTCATTCACAGGATTTTTAATGGTGATTTAGTTTTCCATGTTAAGGAAAGCTGTGTTTCCACCTTGAATCTTTCTCTCTCAGAGATCACTGGGAGCAAACTCTTTAAATAACCCTTCATAATGTTTACGTAGTAAATAACTTGGTTTGCTTGTAGAAATTGTTCTAAATTCATGCTCTTGCATTGGTTATCTGAACTTCAGCTGGTTCTGCTCTGAGCTCGGCTCTATTGCTGTGCTGGGGTCCGTTTCATGAAGCAGGTTTAACAAACTCAGATTTAAGTCCTCAACCCTAAATTGATCTAGCCTAAAGTCGGGAACTCTGAGTTGTCAGGAACAAAGAGGCTAAGATGGAGCCTTGTTCTTCATGTTCTCCTCCTGCTTCTTCTTTTTCTTCCCCCTGCTTGTTCATGTTCTGCTCCTGGTTCCTCATTCTCTCCTCCTGGTTCTTCATGTTCTCCTCCTGGTTCTTCTTTTTCTCCTCCTGGTTCTTCTTTTTCTCCCCCTGCTTGTTCATGTTCTCCTCCTGGTTCTTCATTTTCTCCTGCTGGTTCTTCATGTTCTTCTCCTGGTTCTTCTTTTTCTCCCCCTGCTTGTTTATGTTCTCCTCCTGGTTCCTCATTCTCTCCTCCTGGTTCTTCATGTTCTCATCCTGGTTCTTCTTTTTCTCCCCCTGCTTGTTCATGTTCTCCTCCTGGTTCCTCATTCTCTCCTCCTGGTTCTTCGTGTTCTCATCCAGGTTCTTCTTTTTCTCCCCCTGCTTGTTTATGTTCTCCTCCTGGTTCTCCTCCTGCTTGTTCATGTTCTCCTCCTGGTTCTTCATTTTCTCCTGCTGGTTCTTCATGTTCTTCTCCTGGTTCTTCTTTTTCTCCTCCTGGTTCCTCATTCTCTCCTCCTGGTTCTTCATGTTCTCCTCCTGGTTCTTCTTTTTCTCCCCCTGCTTGTTCATGTTCTCCTCCTGGTTCTTCATTTTCTCCTGCTGGTTCTTCATGTTCTTCTCCTGGTTCTTCTTTTTCTCCCCCTGCTTGTTCATGTTCTCCTCCTGGTTCCTCATTCTCTCCTCCTGGTTCTTCATGTTCTCATCCTGGTTCTTGTTTTTCTCCCCCTGCTTGTTCATGTTCTCCTCCTGGTTTCTCATTCTCTCCTCCTGGTTCTTGATGTTCTCATCCTGGTTCTTCTTTTTCTCCCCCTGCTTGTTTATGTTCTCCTCCTGGTTCTCCTCCTGCTTGTTCATGTTCTCCTCCTGGTTCTTCATTTTCTCCTGCTTGTTCTTCATGTTCTCCTCCTGGTTCCTCATGTTCTTCTCCTGGTTCTTCATTTACTCCTCCTGGTTCTTCATTTTCTCCTCCTGGTTCTTCTTTTTCTCCCCCTGCTTGTTCATTTTCTCTTCCTGGTTCTTCATGTTCTCCTCCTGGTTCCTCATGTTCTCCTCCTGGTTCCTCATGTTCTCCTCCTGGTTCTTCATTTTCTCCTCCTGGTTCTTCATGTTCTCCTCCTGGTTCCTCATGTTCTCCTCCTGGTTCTTCATTTTCTCCTCCTGGTTCTTCATGTTCTCCTCCTGGTTCCTCATGTTCTCCTCCTGGTTCTTCATTTTCTCCTCCTGGTTCTTCATGTTCTCCTCCTGGTTCTTCATTTTCTCCTGCTGGTTCTTCATGTTCTCCTCCTGGTTCCTCATGTTCTCCTCTTGGTTCTTCATTTTCTCCTCCTGGTTCTTCATGTTCTCCTCCTGGTTCTTCTTTTTCTCCCCCTGCTTGTTCATGTTCTCCTCCTGGTTCTCCTCCTGGTTCTTCATTTTCTCCTCCTGGTTCTTCATTTTCTCCTGCTGGTTCTTCATGTTCTCCTCCTGGTTCCTCATGTTCTCCTCCTGGTTCCTCATGTTCTCCTCTTGGTTCTTCATTTTCTCCTCCTGGTTCTTCATGTTCTCCTCCTGGTTCTTCTTTTTCTCCCCCTGCTTGTTCATGTTCTCCTCCTGGTTCTCCTCCTGGTTCCTCATGTTCTCCTCCTGGTTCTTCATGTTCTCCTCCTGGTTCTTCATTTTCTCCTCCTGGATCCTCATGTTCTCCTGCTGGTTCTTCATTTTCTCCTCCTGGTTCTTCATGTTCTCCTCCTGGTTCTTCTTTTTCTCCCCCTGCTTGTTCATGTTCTCCTCCTGGTTCTCCTCCTGCTTGTTCATGTTCTCCTCCTGATTCTTCATTTTCTCCTGCTGGTTCTTCATGTTCTCCTCCTGGTTCCTCATGTTCTCCTCCTGGTTCCTCATGCTCTCCTCCTGGTTCTTCATTTTCTCCTCCTGGTTCTTCATGTTCTCCTCCTGGTTCCTCATGTTCTCCTCCTGGTTCCTCATGCTCTCCTCCTGGTTCTTCATTTTCTCCTCCTGGTTCTTCATGTTCTCCTCCTGGTTGGTTCTTCATGTTCTCCTCCTGGTTGGTTCTTCATGTTCTCCTCCTGGTTGGTTCTTCATGCTCTCCTCCTGGTTCTTCTTGTTCTCCTCCTGGTTGGTTCTTCGTGTTATCCTCCTGGTTCCTCATGTTCTCCTCCTGGTTCTTCTTGTTGTCTTACATAAACTGGTTAAGCTCACAGTAAAGGTCTGCCGGTTTGTTTGTTACCAAATTGTGACCTGTATCTTCTCACTGCTTTGCTGTGAGAGACGTGAATGAGGTGACGTGATCCCACAGCGCCGCAGAGGAGCTGATTAGATTAGCTGAGGCAGAGGAAGGTGTCAGACGGGGGGGCAACATGTTTTATTCCTGCTAATAGAATAACAGGCTGTTCTCCCACCTGTAAAAACTGTTAATTAGCTGCTTGAAGGTTTGAAACTCAACCTCAGTTAACTTTGTTCTTTAACTCTTTAGAGACGGCCAGTCGCCTCCATGTAGGGAGGGGCTGGTCCAAATGCTGCGCCTCCTGTTAGAGTCAGATTTTCACCAAAAATAAAATACATATCCTTAACCAGGATCTCTGAAGCAAGGTTTTGTTTGAATATTACCAGCAGTTGGTAACTACTGCAGGATGCCGACATCTTCCTCCTTTCAATCCTGGTTAGATGGTCGGAGAGCAGCCAGGACCACAGAAACTTTAGACTAATCCAGCCCTAAAGGTCTCGCAGTGGTTCACTAATGTGACTCTATTGACCTCTGATCCATAGTTATGTCTCTGTAGGCTGGATGTGGTCTCCGGCAGCAGTGTGCTTGGATACAACGTGTTCTGAGATACGTGAGGAAACCACTCCCCTCTGAAACCTTTCTAGAGATAAAGGAGCAAACCAACATGGCGGCACCCATAACATTCAGTAAGTTTGCAGAGAGTCAGGCGAAGAAGGCAGCCTTTGGTGAATTTACTTGACAGAGTCGGCTTTAGAGAAGTGGATATGACAAACGATAGCCTAATCAGGGCTTCCAGACGCAGGAAACATTGACAGACGTTGATGTTCATCACACTGCTACGCAGAATCCTCCCTGGAAATCATGTGGCACGGTAGGGAATCTAGGATTTTTATTAATGTCTGAAATGTCCTGATTAGGGAGGCTGACTGTGAGGAGATGATGCGGTCTGCTCATACGCTCTTTGTTATCTTAGAACCGAGCCAGAACTGAACCCCGCCAAGCACTGCTGATGAACTAGTACCATTTTGGCGCGGTTTGGTTGTGTCTGGCACGAACCGGGTCAGTCCTGTGTACCATTTACACTCAGTTACCTTGGTTACCGTGCCTGGTTTCCACAGTAAAACCCCGTCCCTGTTCTTCCAGATGTTTTAGGACTCCTGAAGGAACAGTTCATGTCAAATCTAAAACATGCCAGCTGTTGATTTAAGAAAAACAACATGAATGTTAAAGCTTTCAAACTGGTAATTAAACAGGTCAGCAGCTTTCTGCAGGTTTCATCTGGATGTTTAGAGACTTTAGTGAGTGGTCCTAGAGGTTGGAAGGCCTCCCTACCAGCACTCTAATCTGTAGCTCCCTCCACGGATTCTCTGTCAGGAACCTGCCAGGCTGATATCACCTGCAGTCAGAGGAGAAAGTAACTCCTTTGGGATTAAAGCTAACAACCTTTCTCCAGGAAGCAGAGTTTCCCTCCTCCATCTAAACTTCCCTTTTTTTTCTTGCCTCCCAGAGCTCACATGTTTCCTTATAAATACGTACAAGCCAATTATCACTTTCCTCTCTAGAAACCACAGCTCTATGAGACTCATGAATCCCATCGATGTCTCTGCTGCTGCTCAGCTGTCAATTGGGGTGGGGGGCGGTTAGTCTCTGTCTCCTCCACCATCCTGTGTGTTGGCAGGTTTCAGCAGCTCAAAGGAAGTTGAATTGGTTGATTATGAAGCCTATATATGTCCCAGGATGACCTTTGACCCAGAGCAGGTGGACAGAGACACATTGGCTGTTTTTCAGTTCACCATAACACGATTACAGACTCGTGTTCTCATCAAGTGTGTTCTACGTAGAGAAGAACCCAGGAAAGGCTAGACTCGGGGAGAACAGGAGCATTCAGCATAAATCTGGGTCAATTGGAACAGGAGCGTACTGATGACATCACCACATTCAAAGCTAGTCTGGAGCTGCATTTTACCTCCTTAGTAATAGAATTTAAAATGTCCAAGCTCCATCTGATATCAGACAGAGCTCTTCGCCCTCAATCTGCAGGTTTACTAGTGGTTCCTTGAACTTCTAAAAGTAGAATGGGAGGCAGATCTTTTAGTTATCAGGCTCCTCTCCTGTGGAACCAACTACCAGTTTTAGTCCGTGAGGCAGACACCCTGTCTACTTTTAAGGCTAGGCTTAAAACTTTCCTTTTTGATAAAGCTTATAGTTAGAGTGGCTCAGGTTATCCTGAGCTATCTCTATAGTTATGCTGCTATAGGCTTAGACTGCTGGAGGACATAGGGACCCCTTTTTCATCATTCTGCTTCATTCTATCTCTATTCCCCCACTCTGCAGAATCTGTTATTTCAATCTCTAACGTTTTACAGTACCCTCTCTGCTTTTTCTCATAGAAGCTTCATCTGGTCTGTTCCTGTTTGGCTGTGACTCCATCCTGGAGAGAAATATCAGCTGCACTGCTGCCAACAACACCTTTGTTTATAGATTTTGGGGCTTTGCCTTTTTTTTCAGTTACCTATGGCTGCAGCAGTCGGGGCTAACGTTACCCTTGGAGCTCCGCTGGTTGCTGCAGTCCTCTCAACATCAGAACTTTTTTAAAATAATGCACTACATCAGTAAATGGGTCATATAGTGAAGCTTAATGTACTTTTACTGAACAACAGCAACAGAAAAGAGAACTTTTAAATTAATACTCTGAGCTCTGTGAGCGCTAACCTGGAAGCTGCTGCTGCCGCAGTGCATGCTGGGACAGCTGTCAGTCTGGAGAACAGACAAATCTGCTCTGCATGCTGGGTAAAGAGGGAGGGGCCAGAACAACATCCGGAGACTTTTTCCGTTCTCAGTCTGCTGTTCTTGTGAATTAGAGCAGCACTAGGGCTGAGGCTGATGATGTTTCGCAAGGACACGAGAACGCACAAGAACACGTATTGAGAAACGGCCAGAGACTGATATGGACCTTCAGTGCCTCCTAGATGCACTCAGAAATTCCATCACAGATCCTTCCTCCCAGCTGGTGGTAGACTGGTGGTAGACCCAGTAAGTGTTTGGCACCATGGTTCTGGTTTTCACTGATCTCTTTTTCATCTTGGTCACTATCAGTAGTGATTCTGATACAGCTCTAAGATTTAATGTGAAACCACTTTCCCGGGATCTGCAGTGACTCTTATAGTTCTGTCTTTGGAGGCGTCGGAGTGATTCTGCTAACTGGATCCGGGTTTCCAGGGAAACCAGTCCCAGAGGACCACTTTGAATGAAATGTCCTACTTACCTTCTCATGATCAGGTGAACATCTACCACTGGTTGCTATTGTGCTATTTGTGAGGGTAGTGGGGGGCGGGGGGGCCTGGACCAGGGTCCCTTTGGTTCACTGGCAGCACCAGGAGGTGAAGCTGAAGACATTGACCTCTTATCATGTGATCAATGAAACCTCCTGCATGTGAAGCACCAATAATCTCTGCTGTTGCTGGTTCTAAGTGTGAGGCAGTAATTTATTCATTGAAGGTGTGTGTGTGCGGGGGTGTAGGGGGGGGCTGCTGTAATTGGTTTCTCCTAGCACCTCCTCATCTCTCCCAGTCCTCCTTAAAGCTGTCACACTGAGAATAGGAACCTGCTGCTGCCTCACACCTGATTGCGTAAAGGTGTCGACCTGAATGGGTGGTGCACCTGTGGGGAATGTGGGGGGTGCTACACCCACACTTGGTGTCTTACTTGCAGTCCAAGTCGATTGATCCAACCTATTAGAAAGCAGCTTTATGTGAGGCGCGTCCATCTTTGCAGCGTCTGCAAAGGTGAGTTTGTTAATGTTTGCAATGCTTGGTCTCTCAGAGCTCGTTCAGCAGCATCAGTTGCTGTGAAATGCTTACTGTGCTCAGAGCTGAAGAAACGCTTATAACTGTACAACGTTACAACTCTCCTGATTTAAGCTGGAGATTCACGATATTTAATGTAATTTCTATCACTCAAGGGATGGAGCTGAAGGATACTCACTTACATTTTCCTTGCCAGCCTTAATTGCAGTTTGGGCCCAGTGTGACAGAAATGATAAAGCACTCAGGGATCACCAAGACTGTAAAGTCTGTTAGTGGAGGGAATATCTTTTTCAGGTGTCTCACCCACTACCCTGTGAACTCCAGAAGACCCAAACTTCTGGGTGCTCCCGATGCACCAATGTGCTATTATCCTCCTGACATACCGAACATTTATGATTATCCTTAGTTCCTAAAAAAAACGCCATTCCTAAGTATCTCCTCCCATTCAGCCTCTGAAAGGTTGAACTTAAATCTTTCTCCTATGGATGTTTGAGGGGAATCAGATTCCATCTTAGAAAAGTGGAGACTGCATGACCTGAGGGCTTACTTGATGACATCTAAGAAGCTACAAGTTGAAGGGGCCGCCTCAGCAGACCCAAATGATGCATCTCCTGTTCGGGGCAGGATTAACTCCACAGCCAGGATTTCAAATGTCTTTAATCTTCCATTATCATATTAGATTAGATTAGATTCAACTTTATTGTCATTACACAGGTACAGGTACAAGGCAACGAAATGCAGTTTAGGTCTAACCAGAAGTGCAATAGCAGCAAGTGCAGGATAAATAATGGTTCCATAAATACAGGACATGGGTTTCTACTGAATAAGTATATTTACTAATAGATTAATATAATATATATATTATATAAATATAATATATTTGTAAAAGTTTGAAATAGAAGAGAAAATTAAGATATTTTCCAAGTTATTATCTTAATATATATTCGTAAAGGGAGAAACAGCGCCCTCCAAAAGCCTTAGTGGTGAAAAGTGCCAATACACCCACCTCAAAACTATAAAACATCATTAAAAATATGTAGTTTGCAGTAAAATCCAGAAAAACAAAAATCACAAATGTCAAGGAATACATCCTGCATATCCTAGAATTTTTTGAGATGCTTTACTAAATAGTTAAAAAAGTTGGAGGTCCCCATAAGATGCTCAGATATAAACAGATTCATACCAAACTTGGGGGTATTGAGTGATATCAAATGATAAATAACTGGTATAACTTTGGCTTGAATTGTTTTAAAACCTTTTGAAAAACACCAATTTCCTGTAAACACAAACTTTTGAAAAATCAGAGTGACTGACTGTGATGAAGAGCTGTGTTTTTTTTAACACCAAGGAAGCAGCAATTAAAGGAATGTATTCTAAAAGTCCTAGCTCTTTCAGGCAAAAAGAGCTCAGAGCTTCTTAACAGTTGATTGGCTGCTGGGTGGATTCAGCCTTTCAGAGGACGTTACATTGGTGACTAGGCTCTCTAAGAATTAATCCATCTTTGTGGGACCAGAAAGTTCGAGTTAAATCTGAAGTTATCTGGCTAAACCTGTAGGACTGTTTGACTCATTCAGAATCGGACCGAACTGCAGGTCAGCTGGTAAATGAAGACAGGAGTGTGAGCGGAGAAACCATGCAGGTGAGGAGAACATTGGGCTGTTGGATCAGGAAGTCATTGGACCAGAGTTCTCCTCTCCTCTGGTGTCCCAGAGCCTCCAAAGTTCCTGATGTCCTGAAGACTGGTTCTGAACCAGATCTGCTCTCCAGATTATTTTCTTCTTATCTGCTCTAATTCTTTCAGCCACTGTGGAGAAGAAGAACCATGTTACGTAGATAAGGAGACATTGCTAACTGACACCAGTAGTATAAGGATAGATGACAGATAGATGTTACCTTGATGAGGAGCAGGTGTGACCTAATTAGATCTAAATCAGAGAAAGGTCCTGAAGCTCCTCGTTGGTCTCTGGCCTCATTTAAAGCTCCATGGTTCAGATCCCAGTCCCACACTTTCATCTTTATGACAGATTTAAAGGCATTGAACCTGTCAGACATCAGAGCCTCGTAGTTCTAATCCAGTCTTCCACAGGGAGGAGGTTTCTGCCTTTAAACACACATCCTGAAGAGATATGAAGCTCAGTTTTCCCTACCTCTGAACTTCTGTCAGGTCTCTGCCTCCAACTCCTGCAGCCTTCAGTCTGTGCGTCAGACCGAGGTCATGGGAACCCACAGCTGCTGCTGTGACCACCTGCAGCCGGCCCACAGTGGGGTCCATCCTGGACTGTTTCCACAAGAAATAAACTGCTGCAGCTGAATCAACGTAGAGTCTGAGTTTGTTGTTGGTCGACTGTGGAGTGAATCTCCTCTAGAAATATATAAAATATTAAACATTAAAATCCATGATTCCATCGCTGCTCCTGTTAGTTTGAAATCTGATCACATTCTGCAGGAAATAAAAGAACAAAGGGTAAACGGGAAAATGATAGAAAAGCTAACAGTAAACTAGTTCCACAGGCGGCTACGTCTGGTAAAGAAACAGTTAATCAGATGAGCTCTAAGCCAGCTTTCTGTAAAAGGATGAAAGAGAAAACATCCAGTTAGTCCGAGGAAAAGCTGAGCCCAGAGCTATAGGACAGAAACAGGACTAAACTCTGAAAAAACACGCCCAGCTCCAACATCTAGAAACAAAGGTGTTGATGGCAGCAGCACAGCTCATATTTCTCTCTAGATGGAGTCACAGCCAAACAGGAACAGACTAGATGAAGCTACTATGAGAAAAAGGAGAGAGAGCAGAACGTTAGAGATTGAACTAACAGATTCTGCAAAGCGGAGTGGGAGAATAGAGATAGAATGAAGCAAAATGATGAAAAAGGGGTCCCTATGTCCTTGCCTGGTCCTCGGCTGGTCATACTCTGGTCCTTAGTTGGTCCTCGGCTGGTCCTTGGCTGGTCCTCGGCTGGTCCTTGGCTGGTCCTAAGTTGGTCCTCGGCTGGTCCTTGGCTAGTCCTAAGTTGGTCCTCGGCTGGTCCTCGGCTAGTCCTAAGTTGGTCCTTGGCTGGTCCTTGGCTATTCCTCAGCTGGTCCTCGGCTGTTCCTTAGTTGGTGCTAGGCTGGTCCTCGCCTGGTCCTTGGCCGTTGCTCGGCTGGTCCACAGTTGGTCCTTGGCTGGTCCTAAGTTGGTCCTCGGCTGGTCCTTGGCTGTTCCTTAGTTGGTCCTCGGCTGGTCCTTAGTAGGTGCTAGGCTGGTCCTCGCCTGGTCCTTGGCCGTTGCTCGGCTGGTCCTCAGCTGGTCCTTGGCTGGTCCTAAGTTGGTCCTCAACTGGTCCTCGGCTGTTCCTTAGTTGGTCCTCGGCTGGTCCTCGCTTGGTCCTCGGCTGGTCCTCGGCTGCTCCTTAGTTGGTCCTCGGCTGGTCCCTTAGTTGGTCCTCGGCTGGTCCTCGGCTGGTCCTCGGATGGTACTTGGCTGGTCCTTAGTTGGTCCTTGGGTGGTCCTTAGTTGGTCCTTGGGTGGTCCTCAGCTGGTCCTTGGCTGATCCTAAGTTGGTCCTCAACTGGACCTCGGCTGTTCCTTAGTTGGTCCTCGGCTGGTCCTCGCTTGGTCCTCGGCTGGTCCTCGGCTGCTCCTTAGTTGGTCCTCGGCTGGTCCCTTAGTTGGTCCTCGGCTGGTCCTCGGATGGTACTTGGCTGGTCCTTAGTTGGTCCTTGGGTGGTCCTTAGTTGGTCCTTGGGTGGTCCTCAGCTGGTCCTTGGCTGGTCCTAAGTTGGTCCTCAACTGGACCTCGGCTGTTCCTTAGTTGGTCCTCGGCTGGTCCTCGCTTGGTCCTCGGCTGGTCCTCGGCTGCTCCTTAGTTGGTCCTCGGCTGGTCCTTAGTTGGTCCTCGGCTGGTCCTCGGGTGGTCCTCGGCTGGTCCTCGGGTGGTACTTGGCTGGTCCTTAGTTGGTCCTTGGGTGGTCCTTAGTTGGTCCTCGGCTGGTTCTCGGCTGGTCCTTGGCTGGTCCTTAGTTGGTCCTCGGGTGGTCCTTAGTTGGTCCTCGGCTGGTTCTCGGCTGGTCCTTGGCTGGTCTTTAGTCTTGTCCTTGGTTTATCCGTGGCTGGTCCTTAGCTGGTCCTCGGCTGGTCCTCAGTTGGTCCTTGGCTGGTCCTTGGCTAGTCCTTAGTTGGTCCTCGGCTGGTCCCTTACAATTTTAGACATCAATCTTTGTACTAAAATATTTTTTCTGTCAGGATCTGGAATGGTGTGGTTTCATAACATGTCCTCACCTGACTCCTCATCATCCAGAGTAGTCAGCTAAGGTGGACATCTGTCTGTGGTGCCTCCTGGAAGCCTCCCTCTAAGTGTTCTAGGACACCATGGAGGGACTATGTTTCTCTGCTGCCTGGAGCACCCCTAGCTTCCCCCAGCAGAGCAGGAGGAGGTCGAGGCAAGTCTGGGAGTCTCTGCTGAGACTGCTGTCCCCTGGATCTGGTATCACATGGAACAGCTCCATCCGACGCCCGTCAGTCAGCATCCACCATGATGTTCCCTCATGAAGGGGCCAAACGCTCAGCTCACTTTCTAATCAGCCTCTCGGCAGGTTTGTGGAGCTGTGATGTAATAATGCTATCAGTGCTTTTCAGGTAGCTGTAGGTGATCCTACAGCAGTGAGATTTAAATTATTCTGTCATTCTGAATAAAGACTCTAGACATGTCCAACCCTGTAAGGCTCTAATACTGGATGATAGAGCCATCACAGCTAAAGTGATGTCTGACGTTGGTTTCTGTTTTCCACCTGAAGGTTTCTTTAGTTAGCCTAGAGCAGCTAATGAGTGACAGCAGTATGGGAGTAGCTGTGATTTTCCCACCATTACTCAGAGTTTCTAAGGGTTCTGGATGTTTCTAAGGAGCTGAACTTCTCATACTACCATGATGGGTGGCAGCTGGACCTTGTGTGTGTCTTTGTGTATATCTGGTCTCCATGAGAACAAATGGTGTTTGAGGGTTGGGTGCTGGGTTCAGAACTGTGGTGTTAATTGGGTTTAGGTGGGGTAAGGGTTAACCTGTACTCATAGGGTAGGGGTCACAGTTAGGCTGTAGAAATGGGTCAGAAATAAGGCTCTGGGGGTGCCGCGAGATGACAGGGTAGGGGGCGGGGGGTGATTTAGTCCTTTCTGCGGCTGTCACAGGTTCAGGTCCCGACCTGTCAGGCTATGCCTCATGTCTTCTCTCTAGTCCCATTTCCTGTCTGTCTTATTTCAAAAGGAATACAATAAAGGCTTCTAGAGCCTGAAAATGATCTTTAGACGTCAATGCGAAGTCCCCAAAAGGACAGTGAAACCTGAATGTTATTGGTTTGCTGTAATAACCTTTGCTTTTGTCTGTGTGTGTTTTCAGCAAGACTACAGTCTGATAGTGGAGGCATGGGATGAGGACAATGGCACACACAGCAGCGGTAAGCTTCATCTCTGCTCACATCAACATTTTAGGCTGGGATCAAACTTAAACTTCAGCACAAGTTTAAAGAAGTTCACATCTGTATCCTGTCCTGATGAACCTGATCAGACCTCTGCTCAAAGCAAACGGCCATTTCCAGGGAAGGAGTCCAGGTTTACAGCGTAGCCTCCACTCAGAACACCAACATTTCAACATGGAGGAGACTCTGCCTCATGCCAGTCTACATGGATGGATGACTGAGACAGTGAGCAGCTAGATGTGGATCTAGAGTGAAGCTTTTAGTGATCAGTAGGATGAGAACAGTAGGAGGGGAGGGGCTAGGTGGGCTAGGTGGGCTTTCCAAAGGGAGGGGCCCCAGAAGGCTGATTCCTTTTCATGCTGAGAAGCAGCAGCTCCACTTCCATCACAAACGTCAACGCCATTTATCTTGTCAGTGCAGCGGTCCCTCCTGCAGAGGATGCTGCCCTCACAGGTGGAACGCTGGCGTTAAGCTTCCTGCTTCTTCCACCTGATGGCCAAACGCTCCAGTTCCTGTTGCATTCACTGTCCTCCTGGACCCACAGATCAGATGGGACCCCTCTACCATGCAGACTGGATGGAGGGGCCGAGACATGACATTCTGGAGATTCTTGTCTTACATCCATCTAATGAGTTTGTAAAAGACACATGAAGAGACTCAATTCTTCTGCAATGATCTCAGATTCTTCAAAGCAAAGAAAAACAGGATGTTTGACAATAAACTGGAATCAAACGTAGCTGTAATGAGCCCAGTGCCATGTGTCTCCTGGTGTCCTTCTATGAACATTTAGAGAAGAACAGGGGAAAGCTGGAATTGATGGAAGGGAAGTGGATCAGGGAGGTGCACCACAGAAGACAGTGGATTTGTCTCAACATGCATCCCAATCATATTATAAAGAAGACCAGCAGCTGCCCAAAACATGGAGCTCAGTGGTTCAGCTCTGACATGTAAAAGGCAGCAGAAAAGTTCTCCCTTTGTGGGATTTCTCAATCAGCTGCTTAATCAGCTTCATGCAGTCCACTAGCCTCCCAGCAGCTCCCTACAGCCCAGCCTGCACCACCCTGCAGCCCGGCCTGCACACCCCAGCGGCCCAACCTGCACACCCCAGCAGCCCAGCCTCCAAGCCCCTGCAGCCAAGCCTCCACGCCCCTGAAGCCCAGCCTGCGCCCCTCTAACCATTGTCCCTCTAATCAGCCTCCCTCCACCACCTTTTTATAAACATCTAATTTAGAAGCTGCTGGTTCTCCAACGTGCTCTGAATCTGTCAGAAAGATCTTAATTGCCTCCTAGCTTGCCTTTCCCATTCGCTGACATGCCTGCCAGTCGGACGTAAAGCTTGTAAGATTTTGAAGGGACCGGATCTTAAAGACCCGGATAACCTTTATACTTTGTTGCCCTGGCAACTGGTACCATGAAAACTGTCTCACTCATCTCTAACCTTTTACCTTGCCATTTCACTAATGCCACTCCAGATGTTTGGAAGACAGCTTTGGTTAGTTATTTACCCTTAGTAACTATTATCCTGGAAAGGTTGATTAATGAGCACCTCGAGGCCCGGCTTATTTTATGGAGTCATCCGTCTGTCTGCTGTTAGCACTTTAGCAGCCACAGCTAAGGTACCAACTGATTCTGAAAGGAAGTTGGATGCCAAAGACTGATGTTCTGACCTTCGTATGCCGGTGCTTTTACATTTTAGTCACCCTCTGTGTGGTTTTCAAACTGTCTGTCTGAATGTCAACCATGTGTAAAAGCCAGTGGAAGGTGTCCCTCTAGGCTCCATTCTGGGTCCTACCTCAGAAACTTACTGAGGCCAGGATGCGTCTCTATGCTGATGACACCATGATCTGCTGTCATTGGTGGTTTGTTGCTTCACTTCCAGCCTCTGCAGTCTGATTCCATCCAGTTAGACTTTTACTTGTTATTAATGCTGATAAACAAAGGGAAGGATAACACCAAACACATGAAAAAGACCCATGTGTAAAACTGGGCTTCTCTTTTAGAAGTGTTCATGGTTCTCCCGTGTTTTTCTGTAAATAATCACTTTCTTATCATGGAGTCTAGCATTTATTACAAGTTGTCACCCTTCACCACCTGCTGCAGCCTGTGCTCCCTGTGGTGGATTTCTTCCAGTTTCCCCTGAATTGATCCTGCTGTAAAATTCCTAAGGTTTTCCTTCAAACTCTCCTGTTTAAGGATTTTGTTATTTAATGGAACTGACGTCTGCTTTGGTCTTTAAATGAGGGTGCAGGTCTGAATGAAGGTTAACCACGCTGCATATTGTTTTTGTCTATCCAAAAATATCAATTACAAAAGGTTGAAGCTTTAGGCTGGAAGGTAAATAACATTTAGATGCTTTCGTAGATTAATGTGTAATGCAGGTTGCATCACAGCCTGAATATTAAACCTATTAAATATATTAAGCCTGAATATCCCCCCATGTGGTGTAAAGAAGTTTCACCCCATGTGGGTAACTGTTCAGTTTGGTTCCCACAGTGTTTTCCTCCACCTCTTTCTGAGAATTCCTGCTTTTTCCAGAATTGTTTGTGAAATACGTCAGAGAGCAGGCAGCGACCTGTAGCTCTGAATTAAACCAGGTGGAGCTGACATTAGTGAGCTGCTATTGTAATTATAGAGAGAGAAAGTTCCCATCTTTCCAGGTGCAACTGAGGAGCCCAGTATGGATCTGCTGGGAATTATAGAACCAGCAGCTCATTGGTGGAAATGTCTGCAGTCGAACAGGAAGTGAGACACAGTGAAACATTTGGGGAAATGCATGAACCAAAAGAAACAGACCCTGATGAAAGATGAAAGGAGCGATTAAGCGGCGGTCCAGTTTGAACTGGAGTCAGTCCAGTTGACCTCAGACCTGCCGGTCCAAGCTGGGGTGTTCAGAAGCGGTCAGTTAGGATGGTGTGGAACCAGGTCATGATTGGCTGGTTCCCCAAAATGGCTAGAAGAAACAGCTCTGCTAGCTTCTGTCTTTCAGCCATTTTGTTTCAGATCAGCTGCTGCGTTTGGATGATGGTCTTCTTGATGACGGTGTTCGGACAGAACATCAGCTGCTGGACAGACGTCCTCAGATGTGACTGAATGCCAGAATAGGTCCTCTGGTTGTCCAGCACTAACCCCCCGCCCGCAGAAATCCTTCAGTAATTAGCTGCAGACATTGCTGCATACTTTGCTGCAAACTTTGCTGCAGACATTGCTGGAGATATAGCTGCAGACATTGCTGCAGACATTGCTTCAGATAATGCTGTAGACATTGCTGCAGACATTGCTGGAGATATAGCTGCAGACATTGCTGCAGACATTGCTTCAGATAATGCTGTAGACATTGCTTCAGTTATAGCTGCAGACATTGCTTCAGATAATGCTGTAGACATTGCTTCAGTTATAGCAGCAGACATTGCTGCAGACATTGCTGCAGATATAGCTGCAGACATTGCTGCAGACATTGCTTCAGATAATGCTGTAGACATTGCTTCAGTTATAGCTGCAGACATTGCTTCAGATAATGCTGTAGACATTGCTTCAGTTATAGCTGCAGACATTGCTTCAGATAATGCTGTAGACATTGCTTCAGTTATAGCAGCAGACATTGCTGCAGACATTGCTGCAGATATAGCTGCAGACATTGCTGCACATATAGCTGCAGACATTGCTGGAGATATAGCTGCAGACATTGCTGCAGACATTGCTGTAGATATAGCTGCAGACATTGCTGTAGACATTGCTTCAGATATAGCTGGAGACATTGCTGCAGATATAGCTGCAGACATTGCTGCAGACATTGCTGTAGATATAGCTGCAGACATTGCTGTAGACATTGCTTCAGATATAGCTGGAGACATTGCTGCAGATATAGCTGCAGACATTGCTGCAGAAATTTGTGAGGATGCCTCCAGAGGACAGCGTTCCTCTCACATGGCTGCAGGAGAGAAGCAGCTGAAGGAGATTATCTGATTCACCTCTATATGAGTAATGAGTTGGCAGACTCTCCATTCCAGGTGTTCACCATGAATGATTTCAACTGTCACAACTGATTTATAAAACGCAGCCCTTAGAGGCTATGATGGAGGCTGCATGGATTCATTCAGCTCTTTGGTTGTCTATCCAGCAGAGATGAACTGTTCCTTTGATAACAGTTGGTGTCTGATGGACACATCTTGCCTGGGCTTCATGTCAGAGGTCACCCCCTCTCCCTCACCTTGGGAAGCCCAATGCCCCCAGTAAAGTCACGGTGGTTACCTCAGGGTCAAATGTGAAACATGTTCCTTTAAATGCGTCTTTCTGCTTACCCCCCTAGTTGTAGGTCATAGGTTATATAGCTGTAGGAACTGCAGACTTCTGCAATAATATCCCATTACTTCTTAAAGGGCCGGATCACATTTCATTACTCTGAGCAAGCAAGCAATCAAGGTAAATCAACTGGAATGAAGCCGAACCAAACAGCAGAACAACGCATCATGATCATAAAAATAACAGAATCATTTAGAGGTCAGACTTTACTCGATTAACCGATTATTGAAATCATCCATCCATCATCCTTTAATCCCTTCTGGGCTGGTGAGGGATGCTGGTGCCTACCTCCTGCTGTCTATGGCGGGGTCCATCCTGGACAGGTCACCAGTCCTGAAAAATCATAAACTAAAATAATTGAATTATTATTCACCAATTCAATTATCATTCTTAATGAAAGTTAGCAGGTATTTCACCAAAGCTGTCAAAAATAATTTTGCATTTAAGATGAAAATTAAACAAATCTGCTATTAAATTGTTTTACATGATTATTAACTGGTTTTTGACAGAGATAGTTTACAGACTTGTTTGTCTAAATATAACTACTTATTAATGAAGTAACAGAGACACAGAAATCCATAAACTGCTAGTTTCTACCAGTGTTTAGCTGCTAATCATATTTATTTTTATTTGATTAGAATAATGGATGACTAAACTAATCAATAGCTGCAGCTCTACTTTCAACATTTATGGGGGACATTTCTGGACAAAGCTCTCAGTGTGATTAGATCAGGTCGGGACTTTGACTAGGCTATCTGAGCTTATGAATCTGCAGTAATCTGAGCCATTGCATGTCTTCAGGGTTCTATTCAGTTTATTTCTATAGCTCAAATTTACATCATGTCGTCTCAGGTCACTTTATAGATCCACATCAACCAGACCATCCAGTCAGATTGGTTCAAAGTTTTCTATCTAAGGAAAACCAGTTGATTGCATCGACTCATTGAGTCTTAAGCAATCCCTCACACTAAGTATGCTTGTAGCAACAGTGGAGAGGAAAAACTCCCTTTGAACAGGGAGGAACCTCCAGCAGAACCAGGCTCAGTGTGAGCAGCCATCTGCTGAGGCCGACTGGGGTTCAAGGAGACAGAAGCAGACATAGAAAAAGAAGCATAGATACAGAAGGCAACCAGCTTCAAAGGAGACCCCGTCCACGAAATACACAGCGAGGGTCAGAGTTCAGCTCAGGTCTCCTGCAGGATGGTTCTGATTTACCTTCATCCATTTTCCCCATGCAGACCCATCAGCCTCCTAAGCTAACCTGCAGCATCAGGATTCAACGTTTTCTGTAAATCATCCAAACATCCATGGAAAAGCCTGCCGTCCTTCATCAGTACGGAGCAACTTCCCTGCTCCACCTCCTGCTGTATTTGGACCTCAAAGAACTCGGATGGGGGCTTGATGGTGTTACCATGGAAACATCCGTGAGACAGGCAGGCTGAGGCAGTTTGCATGTGCGCTGAGACAGGCGGGAGCGGGGTTAAGGAATCTGGGCGTTAGGGAAGTTAAAGTTTGAGGGAGAAGCAGTGGTTTGAACTGTGCGCTGGTTCTATCATCACCTCGATTGTTTCAGAACCATCAGAAACGTTTCTGTTTTGCCGCTTCATGGTTTTTCCTCTGAAGCAGGTTGAATGACAAGGAAATGGCACAGAAGCTGCTGGGTTCCTTCAGACTCGCCTCTCCATTGTTGCTCCTCCACGCCTGTTCTTCGCCTCCTATAATTTCCTGCTTTGCTTCGACAGAGTCAGGGCTGAATAAACAGAGGAAAAAACAGGGTGTTAGGGCAGAGCGGAACTGATCAGGAAGAAGCTTTTAGGTTATCGAGCCGCCACAGGTCCCACTGCTACGTTTCCTCCATTTCTCTACTTCTTTCTGCTGGAGATGTTTGATAGGAGACCCCGCCCTCTTTTCTGATGCTTTCCAACATCTGGCGTTCCCGCAGCTCCATGGAGTCGGACCTGTTCCTGGACGGTCCTTCAAAGCTTTGGGTTGTTTCAGCTTATCTCACTTCAGTTTCAGGTGTGATAAAGCAAATGAACCCCCCTCCCCTCAGGTGGGTTACAGTGTTTTGTTTTTTTGCTTCTGCATTTTGAATCCCAGTCTGAGGCTGTGGCTCTCTGGGAGTAACGCTCCATGTACCGACGTTCATCCTGATGCTGAACAGAGACAGATAGAAACCTGCAATAAGACACAAAGACTCACATGAATGTTTTTGATTTCTTTCTTCCTGTTCCTGCTCCTCTTTCATCATGTTGGGATCATTTCTCTGTACTTTCTGTTGCTGCTTGCAGACAATGAGCTTCTGATCGAACGCGTCATCCTCAAAGGGAAGATTAACCCTGGAGAAGAGAAGCAGCTGTTGGAACATAAAGGCGCCGTGGCTACCATTAGCTTCACCATACGCGTTCGCTGCGATGAGCACTACTATGGAATCAGATGCAACGTGGTGTGTCGCCCTCGAGACGACTACTTTGGACATTATAAGTGTGACCATTCTGGGAAGAGGCACTGCATGGAGGGCTGGAAGGGAGAGGACTGCAAAACAGGTGAGACACTAAAACAGGAAGAGTCTTTTCATCCATCTAGATTACGGGAAATACTTTCTGGATCGAACATGAAACCTCTGAATCAGGCTCAGACTGGGAGCAAATTCCGGCCCTGGCATTTTCCATCTATACCGGCCCAGTTATGGACCCCCCTCCCCATCCACAATGTGCATACTAATACACATTGTGGATTAACTGATCTATCTTCAAGCATCACATGACAACCATCACCAAGACTTCTATAATGCAGTTTTTCTGGCTTTGGTTATTAACTCGCGACTGTGACTGCTGCTGCATAACATCCACACTCACCACATCAGCAGGGTTACCAGATGTCACTGACTCATGTTTTCCAAGCCAAACATTTTTCATAAACCACCTGGATATACGAAATCTCACCCAATTTTAACCAAAGTCTATCGATCTCTTAGGCCATAAATCTAAAGAAGAACATTTTTTTAGCCATAGATGGCCATCCTAAACTGCCAGATTAGGAAACGTCCCAACATGGCAACAAAGCACGTAAGATGGGAAACGTTAGCCTTTAGATGCAAAACCCCAATCATGCACCGCAACATATTCAAACATAAATTTGCCATATATAAGAGGAACATCGTAGTTTCGTTTAAAGAAATCATTTTATTTTTATTATAATTTAGTTTGTTGCAAGGATTTTACAGGTTGAAGAACTAGAAAATTACACCATATATCAACTGTCACAATGATGTGCATTACAAGGAAGGGCTATATATACTGCATGAATCATTTAGGTAGTAAAAAAAGGGATTACTTCTTGAGCTCCTTGAGTTATTTACTGTCACAGGTAGGAGCTTCGCCCGGAGAGTAAGTGTTGGAGCCGGTATGATTTAAGGAGGGCTGGCCCTCGCATGCTGAAATGAAGACGGGCCCGCTGGGCAAATGCCCACTATCACAGATTACCAGTCAGAGCCTGGTCTGAATGCTGCACAATTGTACACTGTACAAAGTTTCCCCCTTTAAGGGGCGAATTTCCAGTCGTGCAAGAATTTTCCGATCAGTCTAACTTTCAGCCTGGTGGTGCGCAGTGTAGTGTACAGTGGGTAACGAGGGGCGATCAGCCTCTAACAACCACCTCCCCATCAGGAATCGTGAGGTCGGGAGAAAATCAAACAGGTTTGATTTTCAGTCAACCGTCGTGGGCAAATCGCTCAGAAACAAAGATTCTTCTTCTTCCTCTCAGAGGCAAACCCAGAAGCATGGCGGGGATGCAATGAGTGCAATGTGTGCTCAGCCATCTCTTTGTCCAAATATGTCGTCGGCTTTTCTTTTTAGGGGTGTTTTAAGCACAAAATTGCAGAAATTATCAAGGCAGCCCGTTTCATTCTAGTGAGCTTCATACTTCTACTCGTTTGGCTTCCGGATAGACGAGTCAGAGCAGCTCCATCTCACTGCGGAGCTGAGTCCCACGTGGGTTTTAGATGTACAGCTTGAGCTGGTAGATGGCATCAGAGCGTCGGGTCGCACATACCTACAGTGTGCAGCTACTGCAACAATTGAAAAAATCGCACAATGTATGACCGGCTTTACAGGCTATATTTAACATATCAATGACTTTGGGTCTGGTCAGATCAATCATTATGTTTTGAACAAGAAAGTAAAAAAAAAAAACAGGAATGGAAGCAGCATTAAGTGATATCAGGGTGGGGGTGTTAGGGGTCGCTGATGATGATACGGACTCAGGACACGGAGGCCTAACTAAACCTGGACATTAGAGTCTCGTCTGTCACATTTCCTGAAACAAACTTCACTCTCCTTCCTTGTTCAAGAGTTCAGTGCTTTCTTTCCTAAAGACATTTAAACATTGAATAAATGAAAATAAAGCAGTCGTCACTAGAACAGTCGGTCAGAAACTCATTCTGGGGTCACGTGTCCTCAGGTCTGACGTCCTTAAGTCATGTAGAGTCACTTCAGAGGAATGCTGGGAAACTGGTGGACGGCGCCGCTTCACCACCTCTGTCCTGTTTTATAATCAAAGGTATTCAGTGAGTTTGGTTTCCAGATCTTAACGTGCTTTCTTCCTCTTCTCTCCAAAGCCATCTGCAAACAGGGATGCAGCCCCTTCCATGGGACCTGCAGCGTTCCAGGAGAATGCAAGTAAGTCAGCCTTTAAGGTTCTCTGGGTTTTCTCTTGTCTTTGCCATCAGGCTGCCTGCAGTCCTGCTCTGACACCGTCGCTATGCTTCCTGTTTCACAGCTGGCCTGATGGGTTCATATTTACACTCAGGAAGACATTTTCTCTAGCTTGCATCTTTCTTTGCTGTCACTCTTGTCTGTATGTGAAGCTTTGACCTCTTAGTCCTGTTTTACCTCCTATCCTTAACAGAACTGCTCAGTTGACCCATGACCATGAAGTTCTGTGCGTCTGGAACCTAGGAAACAAGCGTTTTTTACAACGTTTAAACTCATTTGGTTTTTCAACAGCAGTTGGCAAAGTTTAATGATTTGGTGTGTTCAAAATTTAAAATGTCAATAATAATTAGTTCTGTTTTGATCATTGATTGAGTTTTCTGTAGTCCTTCATATACGATTAGGACTAGAAGTGAATGGCAGGTAAGGAGTTTTATTGGGTCACAGTGAGCTGCTGTCTCAATTCAATTCAGTTTATTTCTATAGCGCCAATTCACAACACGTCATCTCAGGGCACTTTACAATTCACCAGATCATCCAGTGAAATTGATTCAAGGTTTTCTATCTAAGGAAAACCAGCTGATTGCATCGACTCATTGACTCTTCAGCAATCCCTCACACTAAGCATGCTTGTAGCGACAAGGGAGAGGAAAAACTCCCTTTTAACAGGAAGAAACCTCCAGTAGAACCAGGCTCAGTGTGAGCGGCCATCTGCCGAGGCCGACTGGGCTTCAAGGAGACAGAAGCAGAGATAGAAAAAGATATCATCATGTTTGTGTCCATCTCCTGGGTTAGCATGTGAATGCTCATGGTACGTTCAAAGATAGCTTGGAAAAATATGTTTCTGCACATTATTAATGATTTTAACAGTTTTTACGAGTTTAATGCAAGCCATATTTTTTCCACATTTTGTTTAAAAATCCATTAAAAAAGAGCGGCTTATTTAGAAACAATAGGCTGCATGATTGGTCAACACACAACACTTGCTGAGTGTTGTGCTGTGTCCCTATTGGCTACCCGCCAACATGGCAGGCAGATTGATAGTTTCACAAACGTTACTCACATCTGGCGGCTTGGTGGGTGCCAATTTCTTTTTCTGCACTTAATAAAACCAAAACTGCTGGTTTATTTTTACATTCTTGTATAGATCTTGAATAGTTTTAGTATCAGATTGGACTTCATTTTACCATCCATCCACTTTCTTCCTAAACATTAAACCATGGATCATAGGTGATCTGAAGAAACTGCTCATAAAAACAACGCAAGCCTTTAAAGAGGGAGACGGGGGATTAATGAGGAGAATACAAAAGCAACTAAAGATTAGAGAAAACAAGGAGGCAAAGAGGAAGAGGCTGGAAAACAAGCTCCAGCAGAAGAATATCAGAGATGAAGAAGATCCCAGGCTTGAAGCAGAAGGATTATCAGACAGATGGAACTCAGACTCTGGTCACGGAGACATGGCTAAAGCACCTGGACGCTGGACGCTATTGTGGACCTGCTTGGATTCACTGTGGTGGGAGCTGACAGAGACACCAAAGCTAGTGGGAAACGGAAAGGTGGGGGCCTGATCATCTTTATGAACCAGCGCTGGTGTAACCCAGGACATATTTCAGTTAAGACTGTGTTATGCTGCCGGGACCTCAACCTGTTAGCTGTTGGCTTGCAGCCATATGATCTGCCGAGGGAATTCAGTTACATGATCGCCATCTGTGTTTACGTTCCCCCGAGAGCAGACTCTTTCTATAAGCAGATACACAGCTAGACTGCAGACTCAGCACCTTAATGCAGTTATAATCATTTCGGGTGACTTTAACCATTCAGCGTTGGACCCTGCTTTGCCTGTTTTCCATCAGGCTGTTGACTGTCCAACAAGAAACAACGGGACAATCGACCTCCTGTATGCTAATGTGAGGGATGCATATGTTTATTTAAAAACAGCAGATCTGCAGTGAACAGCTAGGATATCTAAGGCAGGAACCTCTGCAGAAAGGAAACACAGGTTAGTGACCACATTTATCTGACAGAGGATGATTACAAATGTGTGAGTCACTATCCTGCTTTATACTAGGAAATGAGCACAGCGCTAACGTCTGCAGGGAAGGTGATTTCATCAACTGTTATTAAACATAATTGTATCCGAAGAACCAAATCAGAACAAACCACAGTTTTACCTGCAGGAATGACGCAGCTCTGAAAAAGTAGAAGCTTAATGGGGGATAGTTGACCTCTGGGTGACCTTTAATATCTCTGAAACAACAGCAGCTCATATCTTCTTTTTTATTTATTCATTTATTCTTCATTTTTCCAATTGAACATTTTAACTCCACAAACCTGCTCTATAGAAGCAATAACCACTCAGTCTATCAGAGTTTTTTTCTCGTCGGTGGGGGGTCAGCTTCATGCAGCTGAAGCTCCTCCTACTTGATGAAGTGGTCCAGGATGTTTACAGTGTTGAATTACCTGCTAGAGGAAACCACCGCCTTCAGTCTGAACGCACCTTTAGACAGACCACTATTAGACAGACCACCACTAATAGACAGAAAGGCCATTACAGACAGACCACTATTAGAAAGACAGACCACTACAGACAGACCACTAATAGACAGACAGCCCACAGACAGGCCACTACAGACAGACCACTATTAGATAGAAAGACATCTTTTAGACAGACAGACCACTACAGACAGACCACTAATAGACAGACCACTATAAACAGACCACTATTAGACAGACAGACAACTACAGACAGACCACTATTAGACAGACTACCACTACTAGATAGACAGACCACTATTAGATAGACAGACCACTTTTAGACAGACAGATACTACAGACAGACTATTAGACAGACCACTATTAGAAAGACAGACCACTACAAACAGACCACTAATAGACAGACCACTATAAACAGACCATTATTAGACAGACAGACCACTACAGACAGACCATTATTTGACAGACCACTATTAGACAGACAGGCCACTGGTAGACAGACGGACAACACTAGACAGACAGACCACTACATACAGACCCCTATTAGACAGACAGACCACTACAGACAGACCCCTATTAGACAGATAGACAACTGGTAGACAGACGGACAACACTAGACAGACAGACCACTACATACAGACCCCTATTAGACAGACAGACCACTACAGACAGACCCCTATTAGACAGATAGACAACTGGTAGACAGACGGACAACACTAGACAGACAGACCACTACATACAGACCCCTATTAGACAGACAGACCACTACAGACAGACCCCTATTAGACAGACAGACCACTACAGACAGACCCCTATTAGACAGACAGACAGACTAATAGTGGTTAAAAACAGCTCAGCATTAGTGCACCCTTTAATTAGGGATAATAATGTGTGTTTGAACTGAAGTGCTTGTGGTAGTAGCGCTGTTGCTGTGGCAGGATGGTGTTTCTAACATGGTAGTTTTGTGCAAACCTGAAACGGCTGGAATTCCGCAGGTTTTTTGTCCATTCTAATTAAATAAGGCCCAGTTATATAGAGAAGGCTTTTCTAGCAACATAGAGCAACAAAGACTAGCTGTAAAAACAGTTTCTTATGATCCGGATGTGATGTTTTACTGCTGGAAATACCAAATTACTTTTATGGTTAAAACCCGCTAAACTGATGCCGTTAACACTGATCCATGTACGTAATGTCTTCATTATCATCAGAAAGCTCAGGTAGTCAGATCCAGGCTGGGTAGAGGATACATCCAAGTCACAGACTGAGGAGACCCACCATGCTGACAGCGAGACGACAGGAAAACACAGGAAAGCTCCTTAGGAATTATCGGGTGCCATTTAGTGAGTAGTTGGCTATATAGTCCATAAATGATGAATGTAAAGAATGGCCTGAATGCTAACTGAAGGCACAGAAGTAAGCTTGTAGTTTTTTGTTTGATGAATATTTCATATTTCATTATCAAGATCTGATCAGTCTATGTTTTTATTTTGTAATGCAGATGGTCTAATTAGGGACAACCTACTCGATTGATCAAAAACCAAATATGTTAAACTATATTGGTCTGAATTTGAAATCACTGATAGAAGCAGGCTAATCAAAAATATCCATTTCTATCCAGCTCTGTTTAAAGTCTGAAGCATGAATCATCTGTGACGGTAGAAAGTTTGCACCTATGTTTTTAGGCTTGAAGCGAGATGATGAACGCTGCAGTATTTTCATGCTGTTTACGGATCATGCTCTCAGGCCAAGAGAACAGGCTGTAAAGCTCATTTTGAACATTTCCAGTTTGTTGTGTTAGGTTGCGGTGTAATTCATCTCTGATCAGATTCAACGAGGCAAAGTCGGTGGGCTCCAAGCAGAAGAAAATAACACTAACAGGGTTCTTAGAGCTGCAGGTTGGAGAGGAACACCCTGGAATGTGCCTCAACATGTGACTGAAGCCGCATGGCTGCAAGGAAAACACACAAACCCACTTCTGTGAGGACAACACCTTCTTTATCAGGGATTTCTGGGTCTAAATTTATCAAACCACACAGAGAAACCTTTTTTTTCGAACTACTGTGGAAAAATCCAGGCTTGTGTTTGGTCTTTCAGGCTCTAGGCTCAGGTGCTGTTCAAAGGAAAATCCGATTTACTTCCAGCCTCAATCATCCAGGTCCAAAAAGTTAGAATCACTTCCAAACATTTGCATTTCCAACTCCACAACACAGAGGGGGGGAAATGTTTACTTTCTGGATGTGGATCATCCACCTATGCTCCCAGTATAGAGCCTAGGGGTCCCAGTACATCACTGCTTTCCTTTCATCATAATCCTTCTAATATCAGGTCTTCTGTTTCCTTCATTCGGCTATCCAAAGCCGACATCAGGGTCTCCCAGAAGGTCACAGACTGAGGAAACTTTTAAAGATCTCGCCTTCAGGGGCGGGGTCCATAACAGCAGCTCACCCTGAGGGGGTGAAGCTGTTGGAGAAGCG